ATGGAGCGTTAATGGAGGACAGTCTGGGTGTCTTGATTTTCACATAGTTCTCCAATGAAGCACGCTTCCACTTGGGTGATTATATTAACAAGCAAAGTGCCTGGCATTGGGCCTCAGAGAATCAAAGATTTACCGTTGCCAATCCATCCAGAGATTACAGTGTGGTGTGCGTTATCAAGCATCAGAATATTTAGTCCCATGTTCATCAAAGGAACAGTCACTTCTCACGTATGTTTTCTGTGGGGGCTCTTAAGGGATGGGATTCATAAAAATTTGCACACACTTCTGGAATTGACAAGTCATTCTGTTAGAAACTGAAACCACTTTTATCGAAGTTCAGCCAAGGTTCTGAACAATTTTGTTCTCTGTTTGCATAAAGTTCATGATTGTCAGGGACATGACATGGAACAAGGTTTAGCATCACAGACAAAATGTCAAAGTTTGTAGAATAATCTTTTAAAGTTTCACATAGTTGTGTTCAATAACAAGGAAGTTACACAAATTTTAATGTGTCCAGTGATAAAAAACGTACTGTATTTGTGTAAAACAGTGACCATGGCAGAAGTTATTTCTAAGATTTCAAAATTGCAATTTACAGAATTTCAGACTTAGTTGTTTAATGACCCTTCCTCAGTTACATAGTGTCATGAGGTTTATTTTTAGAGTGTCCGTTTTATTATCTTGTGTAGTAGGCTGTTACATAAATATTTTCTGGAGAGAGGGAAAGGTGATTATATGGATGTAAGATTGAAAGTATGTCCATGGCGAATGAGTTCATGGACTTATTTTATTATAATAAAGAAAAAAGGTAAAGTTTTCCCTGTGCTTAACTAATTAAGCACTAACCATGAAGCTGTATGGGGGAGTGGAGCTGGGATAGTTTAGTCAGTATAGCAACTGGCTATGGGCTGGATGACCGTGGGGTCTGAGATCCAGTCCCAGTGGGGGCAAGAATTTTCTCCATGTTGTCCACACTGGCTCTGGGGTCCACCCAGTCTCATATCCAATGGGTACAGGGGGCTCTTTCCCCGAGGGTAAAGTGGCAGGGCCATGAAGCTGACCACTCACCTCCAACTAGTGCTGAGGTCAAGAAAATGTGGATCTGTACATCCACTTATAATAAATAGTAATGTAAAGGGCCCATGGATAAACTTTTAAAGAATCAGAAAATTTTCATTTGGGGCCATTTTTAAAGTCACTCAGAACAGCATTGCCTCAATTAAATTTGAAAAATGTTTTAGACAGATTTTGTTTATTTGACAGAGAGAATTAATGAATGTAATTTGTATGATCTCATTTTGGGAAGTAGTGCACAAGGTTATTTTGAACTTTGTGCAGTCCATTGGAGACAAAGGACTTAATACAAGGTGGTTCAAATATGACCGGGACTGATTTTTTTTAACCAAAATTGCCAAACAATTACTTGCACATGTCGTCTTCAACGTACTCCCCTCCGGAGTCAACACATTTTTTCCAACGTTCTGGAAGCATCCTGATGCCCTTTTCAAAAACGTTTTGTGGTTGGCGGCGTATCCACTCCCGAACATTCTGGATGATGGCGTCGTCCACAAACCGCATGCCTTGCAAGTCTGATTTGAGGCTTCTGAACAGGTAGAAATCAATTGGTGCCAAATCGGGACTGTACGGCGGATGTGTCAGAAGGTTCCATTTCGATTTCCAGAGGCTTTCCTTTGTTGTTTTGGCCATATGGGGGCGTGCATTGTCTTGAAGGAAGGCTACCCGCTTTCCACCTGTCTTCTGCTTGGATCGGATCTTTTCCTTCACGTCTGTTGCCAGGAGGTCTGAGCAATAAGCTGCATTGAATGTTCTGGCATCTGTCAGAAGGTCTACATGGATAACCCCCTGCCAGTCCCAGAAGAACGTTGCCATCACTTTTCCTGCCAAACAGCTCCTCTGCGCTCTCTTGGGTTTGGGAGAACTGGTATGCCGCCACTCACGTGATGATTGCTGGGACTCAGGAATGAAGTAGTGCACCCACGTTTCATCAGTGGTCACTATAGACTTCAAAAATGCATCACCTTTGTTTTCAAACTGCTGTAGGAGACGACTGGCAACTTGCAGGCGCACCATTTTGTTCACGTCCGTCAAAAGTGCATGGTACCCACCATGCATTCACCTTGCGATAGTGCAGGTGGTATTTCATGATGTCTTCTACACTACCAACACTGATGGACAGCATTGCTCCAAGTTCCTTGATAGTGATGCGCCTATTCTCACGAATAAGTGCATCTTCACGATCAATGTTTGGCTTGGCGATGGATGTTCACTGCCGACGATCATGCGGTTCATTCTCCACGCGCTCTCTGCCCTCTCTGAAGCACTTACACCACTCAAACACACGGGTCCATGAGAGACACTCTTCCCCATACTGTTGTTGGAGTCTGTGGTGAATTTTAGCGGATGGGACGTTTTCTCCAACGAGGAATTTGATCACAATGCGTTGTTCTATGCTCCACGGTACCTTCTGTTCACTCATCACTCTAGCAACTTCCAGACAGGACTGAACAGGTTCTAACCCTAACAGGAGGGAGGGTGGAGGTTGTGGCGTCACTCTCTCAAGGTCACACAGCTGCTGCCCAGTGCAGCTTGTTTACAAAAAAATCAGTCCCGGTCATATTTGAACCACCTAGTACACTGTTGTGCAGCACCAGTGCACATTCTTAGGTTTATATTCATTGTCACATTAAAGTGTCCCAGCTCAGTTTTCCTTTAATTTTTATGCTTTCTTTTCCCAAAGTTCAATCCATAATGGAGAACCCATATCTGCCTATATATTGCAGTTCTGAAACTATTGCATGCATTTTATGAAATTTATACTAAGGGTAGTTGCACTAAAGGGTTGGAGAGTAAGCAGAGAAAGTACTCTTCATCTCTGAAGATGAAGGTAGTATTTTCCCCCAAAATATGACTAATCTTCCATCAACCTACATGACATATCTCGGAAGATATTAGTTCTCATAGTTTCCACTGTGAGAACCTCACATATCACTGAACTTAATCAGATTTCTCAAAAATAACGTGTAATGAATTGCATGACATAACTACAAGTATCATTAAAGTCTACAATTTTTATTGGGCATGTTTTTCATTGTGGTGAAAATTTAATTATTTGCATTAATATTTTGCTGGTGTGGACCTTGTGGGCCCAGATAGTGCTTAATCTGGTCGACCCTGACTGTTCAAGTATTCAGTTATCATGCATGCCTCCGGTTATGGTGAACTTACACAATTCTTACCATAAATGTAACAGTATTTTATTATTTATTTATTTATATAGCACAACATGTTTTGACCTCAACTGGGTCATCTTCAGGTGCTGCAAATTTCTCACATACTGTTACCAAACTGCAACACTATCCCAAGGCCATGCCATAGCTCAAGCGGTTAGTCACTGGTTTCCCACCACAGTGGCCCGGGTTCAATCCCAGGTCTGGTCAAGTGGGATTTGTGGTGAACAAAGTGGCGCTGGGGCAGGTTTTCTCTGAGTACTTTGGTTTCCCCTGCCAGTCTACATTCCACCAAATTCTCCATCATCATAATCACCCAGGGCAGGCTACAATGGGGCAATCAGTGGCCACCATGCCGAGTGGACCCAGTTCAACTCCACCGCCCACTAAGCAAACTGCAGTGCTAACATTCCCATTCTTATAAATGGTTCGTACCTGAAGAAGACCCATTTGAGGTCGAAACATGTAGTGTGTGCTATATAAATAAATAAAGTATTGTTGTGTTGACTTAAGAATTATATATGGTAATTGTATATGCGCAACAGGATGCAATCCTTAAAAATACTCCAGTTATGGTTTAACTGTGAATAATGACCACAAATGCAAGGGCAGTGAAAAGAAATGTGGGGCACACTGTAGGGTAGTTGGTTGAGGAAGTATGCTACAAGCTGGAAGGTTGTGGTTTCGAGTCCTGATGAGGTGGATTTTTTTCAAGTGGCCTAATCCTTCCAGCCACACTATGGTCCTGGGGTTGACTCAACCTCTATCATAAATGTGTACCAGGACTGTTCTTGGTGGCTAAAGGGTGGCCAGTGCATAAGGTTGACAATCTTACTGCCATCTGTGAGCTGATTGTCTAGAGAAAATGTGGGAGCCTCAACGTCTCACAACCCTGTGGGCCTTCCTGGCCTGTTACAAGGATAGCTTTACCCTACTTACCTTTTGTATTACTTGAATATATGAATAAAATATTAAATTGCTAAGATACTATTCTGCTTTGTTTAAATAATAATTAAAATGAATTTTCATTTGTGATTACTTATGGGGTGGGGCTCAACTAAACTGGAGTATTGCCAAATCCATACATAGGTTTGCAAAATCTGTAGGAACGTAATGTGAACAGTAGAATTTTCCATAAGGATGCATGTTTAAGAATGAACTTGGCAAGAGCCCCCCCCCCACACTTTTTTTTTTTTTCTTCTTCCAGAGGCCACTGTTGGGAATATTTTATCTTAAGATGACATACCATGACGCGTGTTTTAGCGGACTGTATCATGGTATGGTGGAACAGATGTGTAGTTGAGTCTGACACATTCTGGGAGAGGATAGATGGAATGGCTAGACAGCACAAGAAATTAAAATATTTCTGTCCACTTGTCTGGGTGTGTTCTGTTCTCACCTAGATAAAAAATGTTTTAATGAGGAGCCGAAGGGATCAGTAGGAAAAGAGAAACTGTTGATCTCATTATATGTAGGGTTTTAGGTTCTTGCTGCAGTGGTTTTGAAGAGTTCTGTTTTCTGGGATATAATGCCATGTAGTCTGTTTATGTCAACTGACATTTCATAGAAACAAGTGCGTTCAAGCTTAGTTTGCTACCTGCTTCATGCTGGTTTCTTGCTTGGCTTATTCTTTGGCCATGGAGAAGTAGGCAGCATGTTCCTGCGAAATGTTGGTTGGCTTTCAACAGACTATATGGTGGTATATCCCAGGAGAGAGAACTCTTCATCTCATGATATGATTTCATTTCTAAGGGCTCAGAGGATATTTTGAATACTGGATCCAGCAGTAAGATGACCTTGTACCATATGGAACTGTACAGGGATAAGGAACACACCGAGGCTCTTGACTTCTCTTCACCAGACCCAAGTGTCAGGGAGGCAGAATTTGACGAGACCCTTTATGTGAGGGCTTGGATTGATGGGGGTAAGTTCTGGAATTGTAAATATGAAGTAAAATGCAGTGTAACACCAGTAATCTGAACTAATTAAAGCGCTCATGTGTTTGAACTGTCACATTATTCAGATTACTTGATTTAAAATAAAATTCCAATTTTTGAATGAAATTATTTTTCTGAAGATTTATATGTACATTTATATATTGTCACTTGTATGAATGAGTACATATTGGGTTTTGATTAGTAATTGGATTTATTGATTCACTTACAGATTGTAACTACAAGTAGGTATAGTGTTATCGCTAATTCACACACTCAACAGTACACAACAGAACACACTAAGGCTTCTCAGTCTGCTGTATCATCACCTGTTATTACCTGGTAACAGCTTCCAGTGCTGTAGCTCCCTCAACTTCCATGTTCACTCTTACTGGCTAGTGACTGTCTCACAACTTACTTAGCTCTAATACTTGACCTGCTTATATAACACCTCGGCACAGACCTTACAGAAAACACCTCTCGCAGCAGTTCTTCTGTTGTTGCATCACATAGCTGTTGCATGGATCACGTGGACTCCATTGGTACATGTTACAAATCTGTTGTAGCCATTACCTAGCAATGGTCCTTCTTTACAGAGCCATTACCTAGAAGTTACTGTTGCATAGCTGCTTATTTTGTGATCATTGCCTAGCAGTGGGTCTACATGCCACAATATAAACCAGTGAGTAAGAGTGACTATAGATGAGGTTTGGATTGGTGACTGAATTTATTGACCACTTTACTGCACAACTCCTGACTGCCCTGTTCACTGTTACACACACATGCGCCCGCACACACACACACACACACACACACACACACACACACACTCTCTCTCTCTCTCTCTCTCTTCTAACACTGGAGATTCTTCAGCTTTAGCGCTCATTCCATCGCTGGCTGGATACCATCTCATGACTGAAAACTTGCTCTAATTGTCCTGCTTATAACATCTTGGCACAGACTCTGTAGAAAATACGGTTTCCAACGTTCTTCTATTCACAGAATTACTGTGTTCCCCCCCCCCATTGCCCGGAATTCTAGCTAATAGAGGACACTCTAGGTAGAGTGTCATTTATTACATAGAATTCCAGACGATGGAAAAAGTCCAAAAACCCAGTAATTCTGTGTCATCCACCATTGTCAGAATCCTTTAGAATCTACTAGTTCCTCTGCTGTTGCGTATGGATTCATTGCCATGATAACATGTTTTTGAAGGCATTACTCAATATTAGCAGGGTGTATTTACTTGTTAAAGAGTCTCTTGCCTCACAGCGGGTTTTGTTTTGTTCTTTGTTTCATGGTTGTTACCTAGAAACAGGTCTCTACATGCTACAGTATTATCCTTTTTATAATGTAGGTGCCATTCTCTTTCTTGTTCTGGGTTACCTCTTTCACCACATAGGAACACAGGTCCATTAATTCATTTTGACTGAAAGAAAATAAACCAATTAAATTAAATTTGTAAGTTTTTGGGTGCTTTTTTCTTTCCCAGTAAGTTACCTTGGATTAATGTGGGCTCACATTGCTGAGGTTCTGCTGTAATTGTATGTTAGATTAGATCACCTTGATGCCACTCTTCAAATCACCTATGCAGGAACTTCATATAATTTGTCTTGAAGTTAGAGGCACTGAGATAAAATGATTTGACACTCTTATGTAATATAATGTGTGAAACATATCTCTTGCAACCACCAGCATGGGAGCAATCCAAAATATCAGGCACAGAGGATCAGCTGAAGTTATGCAAGTTGTCATAATGTCATTGTAATCAAACTTGGCACTGTAAGGTTAACAGATATACTGATAAGGATATGAATGCTTACTTTCCCAGCAAAATGGCTTGTAACCTTCTGTCTTTAATATGCCAGCAGTTAAAAGTTAATGTTCCACCATGCATTATTCACTGACATTGTCATATGCACTGAAACCCCCATTTGAGGTTTCTTTGTGTAGCAATAGATATGAATGCTAAGAAACGGAGGAGAATCTCAAGTATAAGAATAACACTGACATCGTTAAATTGGAATCACTGAAATTGAATGTTAAATGAGAGAAAACATTAAATGGGTGTTCCACTGCATTGGTGCAGGAGGATATCGCAGGTTTTTAAAGAAACTGCTTACTGAAATGTTTCATATTTCACAAATGATAGTTATTTCCACGGTACCTGCATAAACACCACTTCAACCGTTATACAGGTATCTGCAATAATGACCCTTGTCTGAACACTCCTGCTAATGCCTCTCCACATCACATGGTTGTTAGTCCTGATGTAATGAAGCATATTGTCACATGATTGAGTGACTGTAGATGTGGTTTGGATTGGTAATCAGGTTTGTTGAACTCCTAAACACACAACTTGTGACTACACTTTACAGATCACAATCAGACACAGAAAGTCATGATCCTCACTGCACTGCTTGGTAGCAGCTTCCAACAGTGTAGCGTCCTTGTCTTCCATGTTCATTGGCTCCTGTCCTTGCTGGCTGGCACCTTTCAGCTGCAGCTCCTGAGCTGAACTAACTCACAACACACAATCAACTCTGTTGTTACATTATGTAGCTATCAGTGGGGATCGCATAGAGAACACCGTTTCCTAATTACTTCATTGTTGCATGTTACAAAGTTGTTGCCTAGCAATGGGCATGTTTGCAGAGCTGGTCCCTAGCAATGGCTGCTTATGTTGGCTTCACAGTTCTTGCCGTCAACAAATATGCCACACTGCTCCCTCCTTAAGACTGCTCCTCTCAAGTAGCCTGAGGCTTACCACCATTTCTTTTTGTTGTCAGTGCAGGCAAAAGTTTTGAGAGTGAACAGTGCTCCCACATCTCTGGCTCCTAAGCTGTGTGCAGTCTCTTCTTTCACTTGGTTGGTGGCTGGCTCCTCCACAGTGTCTTGATGCTCATTTTTCGATTTTTTGAATCCTGATAGAAGACCTGGCTGCTAGTTCAGTGACCTAATGGTCTGTCTCAGGGCCTCATTGAAATTTCTCTTGTGTGTTTTCTTGTTTTCCAGTCGTAACTGCTGTTTCAGGCCTCAGTTCTTTATGCTGCTGTTGTATTTTTGCTGCATCGGATGTCTCTTCTGAACATCCATCCGATGGGGGGAATTCTCATACATCATCATCCTTGGCCCATCTTTTTCATAGGTTCTGGTACCCCATGGTCATTTGTTGATTCCCAGATCTGTTCTTCAGTACTCCAATAATCTCTGCTGCAGCCTCTTTGTTACAGACTTCCTGATGCTCCTCTACAGCCTCTGTTTCTTCTCTATTGGACTCCAAATCCATGGCCTCGAATTTTTCTTGATTATTCCTCGTGACTTCTAGGCAGACCTTTGTTCCTTCTAGCCAGACATTCATCTTTCATTCTGTCCTTCATTGGTTACCCTTAGGCTTCTCTTCAGGGGCCTTCAATTTGACTATCATCTCTATGTGGAACTCTCTCACTTTTGTTAGCAGGCTTTCCATCATTTGTTCCGTTTCCATGTATGACACTTAACTACACAATGCAGTCTTCAATCCAGTAATCAATCAGTCCAGTCCCACTTCTGACACCCGTTGTCTCGTGATTGAGTGATGATTGCCTTGAGCAAATATATCACAAAAATCCCCCCCCCCCAGTATCAGCTCATAGTTATGGACTGGACTTCCCTCCCCAGGATGCATTTGCTTAGTTTTTGCTTATAGTTCCATAAATTTGTTAAAGTGTTGTTATAAAATGTAATCATAAGTCCTTTTACTTTCAGTGGTTCCAGTACAAGTTGTGACAGAAAATTGCTGGATCTCCAACTCATCTAATCCAAGGGAAAGTTCTCGTGTGATCCTGTTGCGGAACACTTGCCCAGTTGATTTGTCTGTGGAGATTCAGGCGCAGATTGATGCTGCAAATAATTCTCAAAATCACTACGCTTCTCATGGCAGCTTCAGTTTTCAAGTGAACAAGGAGTATGGAAATCTGGGTCAGTTTTTTGTTCATTGCCGCCTTGGTTTGTGTACATCTGATCCGGCTCATATCAGAGGGAATCTTATAAGGGTAAGTGAATCAGTTGCATTTTACATATATTTGCTTCAAGTGATGTGTATAGGACCTAGTTTCATTGGGTGAACAGGGTAGTTCTTTCCTTCTCTCAATTCTATTTGGTTGTAATATAAGGGGATTGAAGACTCCTTTCAGATTATGGAATGACAACTTTCTCATAGATAAGGGTAGGACAGAGAGGGTGGGTAAACAGGACCTTTATGGACTGCAGGCCATAAATAACATGAGATGCAAAGATAGAAATAGAGCTGGTATAAAAGTGGCAGCTAATTACAAATCTCTCATTATGATGATGATGCTGGGAAAATCCCCTCACTGTATGTTGTGGTTTTCTGTATATGTAATGTTAAGAAATTGATGGTTTCAGTGGGTTCTGCTGCTATAGCCATACTCAGTCTGGTGTGGTTTTGCTATATATCTATATGCTTATGTCATATTCATGCATGCATATATGTTTGTGTTCATGTGTGTGCATGTGCATGCACACTACCTTCATAATTAAATGAATGGAAATGTTCTTTTGTGGGCTGTGTCTGACTGGAAACACTCTCTGAGTGTTTCCCTTCATTATTATAAGTATAGAATGAAAACATTAGATGAGAGAAAAATGGATGGTTTGTTTGCAGTGTGTGGATCCCAAAAAGTACTGTTCACGTCAGAGTTTGCGTCCATATCTAGACAAGACTGTTTCCACAGCCCAGCAGTTGGCAAGTAAGGGTCCACTTCGACCAGTGCCTAGGAGGAGGAGAGTTCCTAGCTTGCAGGGTAAGCTTTTGTACTGAAATCTACCAGGAATTTGAAAATAGTACAAAAAGTAATTGAAAATTTAAGCTTTCTGCTTTACATGTTGACTTCCTGTCATGTTGCAAGATATGCATTAATCTTTATGTTTACCTTCGCAAACTGTGCTGGCCAGTGTTTATACATTTAGGTCACTTCATCTCATGTTCTTCATTAAATGTCTGTAGAATGCAGTGAAATCATGAGACTGAAGGAACGGTCAATCTGTTCAGTGACTGAAAGACTAAACAAAAACATATTTGTAGATCAAGATCAGAGTTTGTGAAAGGGCTACTTCAGTGAATATTCATGGTGTTTGGTATAAGTAAAATGAAATATGAGTTTGCTTAGTAAACATATATGAAGGCCGTGCCATATCATAAGCGTTTTTTTTTTATTGCTAGTGGTGTGGGACTAAATCCCTTGTACTGCGGCCACTTCTGGCCTATTGTACCAGCCCAAGATGATAAGTGAGGGTGATTGGCAGGGGGAACCGAAATACTCGGAGAAAACTAGCATGGTTTGGCATGGACTGCATCTGTCATCTCTTGCCGGTGAAATGTGTTTACAGCGCCATTGCCTAGTAATGGCCTCGTTTGTTTGTTCTGCTATTTCAGCTTTCAGACATATTGTCATATTGCTCCCTCCTTAGGGCTGCTTGTTCCAAGAAGCCTACAGGCATCTTGCCAGTTCTTCTCCAAGGGGGCATGCCTGTGATGTTTGTGGTTATTCTCATGAATGGCGCCTCAGCATCCTGTTGGTCCTGACACTTCTGCTTCTGGTTTTTGACGTCATACGAGTACAGCCTTCATTCCTCATGGTTTGGGTCTCATGCTGCTGTTCCTGAACTGCTCCCTCCTTAGGGCTGCTCATCCCGAACAGTTCCCTGGTAAAGTTCTAGCCGGTCCAGGTGCTCTACCATCATCTTCATTTTACGTGTGGTGTCTCTGAACCCTGTATACCACATTTCTGAGCTAGGTGACAACCTATATGGGCTGTCCCATGAGGGTTGAAGCATAGGTGACTTTCCATTAGTACAGGATGAGTGATGCAGCCACAATTGGTCACCCTCTTCATAGCCCACAGAGTTGGTCAGATGGTCATAGCACATTTTTATGCTGTCAGTGGCCAGCTTCAGAAGTTGGTGGGTGTTGTAGATGTCATCCAGTCCATGAAGTCTGCCACATGGCTGACAGTGGATCACTCCTTGTTGGTGAAGCATTGAAATACAGGTCACAGGGCAGATGTACTTCTCTCCGGAATATTAGGCTATCTGAGGTCAAGCCTGTTGTGCTGTAGATGGATGCCCCGTAGGCAAGGAGAAAGACGGGCAGCCTCACATCCCAGCTGCTCTTGTGTGACGTGATGACTTTTCACAGGTTCTCCTCAACCTTTTTTACATACCACTCCACTCTGCCAACCAACTGCTGGTGCGGGAGGGTGGTGAATGCCTTGTTCACTCCCAGACATTGTAGGACCTCCTGCATAAGTCAACACGTGTTTACCTCAGTATTGGCTGCATTTCACCATTCCATTGCTCTGGCTTCCAACTATCATATTATCCTCTCTGATTGTATATTTCTCTCTGTTCTGTCATTCTAACACTCATGTGCTTCAGTAAATTTCATTGATTGTTTGTTAATACAAAGTGATGTTTTATTGCAGTTGCATTAAATACTGAGTCACCAGCAGAAGGTCAACCAAAAGTTGCTTATGTTGGAGTGTCAACAGAGGTAACAGTTGGAATTGCTTTAGCTTCATTTGCCATTGGTGTTGGACTCACAGGAGCTTTGTGGTATATCCACATGAAAACAGGTATGTGTCTGCTTCAGTGTTTAGAAATTGTGAGTGCATAGAATTTGGTGCTGTCTTGGTTACAGGCCAGTGCTGGGCCAATCTTATTTATTATTTGGGTAATACTGTAACACTTCGAGGATCTTCCCAGTCTTCCTCTTAAGACCCTTTTACAAAAATAGAAAAGCACATTGTTGCACATTTAAGGGTTCTGTAATTGTTAAAATTACTGTCCGGGAGAGTGTAGGCTGAGTGCAAGAACAAATCATTACCTTCTCTGGACCCTTTTAACTGCTACTTGAGATTGTTCCTGGTGAAGGAATACAATATAAATAATTTGGTGCCAGTGAACACAGAAAGAATACAATAATCATGAAGCTATACCATATACAGTGAGCCCTTATATTTAGTATCGTGGCCACTGAGCTTTGTGTGGTTATCATCTAACACTGTAGTTACCTGATTACAGGGCTGAGGTCAAATAAAATGAACAAATGAGAAAATGAAATTGACATTGAACACTAGGGTAAGGCTAGATGAGAAGTAAGATACAAACCTGGGAACCCAATGGAGGTAAGTAAACCAATGTGAAACGAAACCACAACAGGGACTTAACAATGACAGGCTGAACACATTTTAGAACAAGTAGGACTCACCTTGTAGTCCCCTGTCAGCAAGATCTCTGTCTGAGTCCCCCAAGGACTTGGATACAACTAGAGCAGTTACCAGCTCAAAGACCAAATTGTGAATGCCTGATGAGAGCAAGACAGTTCAACCAGCAGGTAAAAAGGGGTGGAGGGGAAATGGAAAAATGGCAGGTAGGAAGAAGGGGGGGAAAACACAGGGTGTACACAAAGGCAGCTACAGGCTCTTTCAGAAAATAGTGTACACTAAACTGACTGAGGTACGTCTCATTTGATTGAACTCTTCTAGAGAATATGGAGTTGATAGTTCCAGGTCAGAAATGAAGCCATGAAATTGATGACCAAGGGCGTGATAATATGCCGCCTTTTCAGGACTGTTGCACACTTCAAGGACAGTGATAGATACATATGAAGTGGTGTGGAATTTTGAGTAGCAGATGAAAACAAAAGATATTTGAAGGGAAAAAAACTACTTCATTTTCACTTGTCCATTATTATTCTCACATGAAGACACCCGTGATTGAACCAAGGCTCCACAATGAGACACCATTGCCTAGCTGCTTGTGCAGTACAGAGATACTGTAAATACAGATGTATCAATATTGAATTGAAGCCACACCTTCTTCCTGTGTAAACTACATGCTGTTTGGACAGGAATTAGCAGATGCTGATTATGATTTTTTCTTACAGTTCTGTTTCCTTCTGTAATGAACATCAGGGTCTACAGAATGGCCTTATATTCCCACTGTTCCTGTTCACTATTCCTACTGGCCCACCTGAGAAGGATCTGCCCCCATGGACCTGAGTGACCACTGTCCTTTCTCATATTCCATATCCCTCCTTTGAAAATTAATATTATTTTTCAAAAAGGGCTAGTTTCTAACATTTTCTGATCATTGCTTTTATTGGTCTTTATGTGATCCTGTCTGTATAATCTAACTGCATTCTAACCCTAGTCACTTTGACCCAACACATCTTCCTCCTAATCATTGGGCTGTCAAGGTAGGTTGGTCCTCTTCCTGATAGGTGTGTGTGTGTGTGTGTATGCATGCATGGTCTTTTTATTGGTTTTGCCATGTCTGTGTATACCAGAACAGTTTTCAGTTTTGCCCTCTTCTGTGCTTATCGTTTAGTATTTAAGGTCCTGTACATTTATAAACTCTTGTCGCACCAGCAGGGATCTTTCCTATCTCTATAATGTTTTCCATGGTTTTGGCATGATTTCTAATTTGTATGTGCCTATGAGGAAATCAGGAGAAGAAGATTAAGCAGACCCTTTTCCCTGTCCCTGTATAACTCCTGTGTAAGGCCCCTTTCGAGACCAAGGTGGGACATACGCTTTGATGACAGTTTGGCTCTGTTACTGTGGCATATACTGGTGCAGTATAATCAGTCAGAAGTCCCCTGAAACTGTATAGGCCTTCCTTTAGCATTTTTTAGCCCCTCCTGGGGCATGAAGTCCAGGCTTCCCTGGCTTTTCAGTCTGTGTCTATGTCATACATGTTTGTCAAGAGGAGGGACGGTAAGCCATTCTCTTTTTGATCAGTTTTTTCTGATCTGAAATTCTGTCCTTACCCATCACCCATTCTCTTTTGATATGAAAGTGTTTCTGTTGACTCTTGCATCCCAAATCCAATGGAGTCCTTCCAGTGCCCAAAGTTCTGACAGACAGCTGTGGTGTACATATAACCTTGTTTGTGGGGGTCTGCTGTGAGTCTTTCCAGGGTTTTCCTTATTTCATTTTCATGTTTGTATTGTAAACCACTGCTACATGTAAAAGTTTTTTTACTGATATTCAGATCCATTTCGGAGACAAACGGATAAGCAGTTGCCAGAAGCAAGGACTGGAGTTGGTACAAGTGTTGTGACTGGATGCAATCTGTCGCCACATAGTGGCTGCTCTTCCACCAACTCAGAAGCAGCCATGACAGCAACCTGACCCCAAGACAAAGTCTGCTAGCAAACATCTGCAGTCTGCTAGTACATGATGAAAGGACACCTCTAGTTTTAGTACAATCATTTTTGAAACAGTGTAGGTGTGAGAAGGGTATAAAATTAATTCAAAATTGTAGGGTATGACTAAGTGAAAGTTGCTGAGTGATCAAAATAAGGATAGTATTCTATGATTTAGGAATGATCAGCAGTCTTGCTAATTCTTTACTTGAGGCCCATATTACTACAAGCATTGTGGCACCTGTTCTTTTTTGTAAGCCATCACCTGAGTGCAGCAGTCTCATAGTTCGCTATTGTGACATGAACAGACATGTACATAAAGGTGTCTCATTTCATTGCCAACATGCTTTTTACCCATGTTCTGTCATGTTCTATAACATCAATTTGAAATAATGATTTATAGTCAAAAATGAAATTAACTACAGCTGTACAATGTTTGGAACTTTGAATCAGGAAGTTGAATTACCTCAGTTGCCCCCTCATGTTTGCTCAATCCAGCCATTTTTCTACTACCATGACGAAGTTGTGAAAACTGAAGTTGTAGTTTTTCACGGTTTGGTGGCATGGTGGAGCTGTTATGTTGCAGTTGGTCATCCATGAATGGGAACTACAAACCTGTTTTGGGGGAGAGTAATAGTGAACATGATTTTGCTAATGCATCTCAGCTAGAAGTCAGGAATAATTGATTAGCATAGTGAAGATTCAGTTTTATGACATATGAGAGAGATCACTTTGTATAGAAGTCTGTGTGTTTGATACTGATCAGTAATGTAATGTTAAAATGACTTATTACTTTTTATTCCCATGCTTGGTGCTAAGAATAGACTATTCACAAACAGGAAAAAACTTTAAAATGGTAAAAATTTTCATAATTAAACTTTCTAAAATAAAAGTACATAACATTGTCATGTTGTGGAATGATTAGATACATACAGGAATTTGTTTATTTAGTGTGAAGTAACAGGAATGTTTGGAAATTGCCGTTGTCAGTTGGGGTTCAAAGATATATCACGTGTTCTTAATGCAGTCACTGTGAGTTCGCTAGGTGGTACAGTGAGTGTGGGCTGGAAGCAGTCTTGTAGATGAACAGTTGTTCACTGGACTACAAGATACTTATAATTAGTGAATGCTACCAAGACTGTATAGTCAGCCATCTGTTAATTTTTTAGCCATTACCTACATTAGAAATCCAAGTGGAAGATGGGTGAGTGGCAGTGAGTAGCTGACATACTCATTGGCAGCGTATGGGGGGAGGTCATGGAGAAGCTGACAAGTGACTTCAGGTGAACAAAGCAAGGGTGAAAACTAACTTGTTCCAGCCAGTATTGTTACTCTTGTCAGTGATTAAATCTGCTGTGGTATTTGTCTGCATGTGGCAGTGGACATTTGTTCTGATAACTGCTGGGGGTTTCTTATTTGAATTTACTGAAATTACTCCACAAGGTTGTCTTATTATTCATTTGCTATACAGTTGTTAGTGCGGGATAAAAGTAGTTGTGTGAAGTTTATTGTGTTAAGACAAGTGCAGGATCAGCATGAATTTCTATACCAGGTGATCTCTCTGACATCTGTTCCAAACATGACATGCCAAGTTAATTTATATGCACCATATTTATTTAGTTACTGAGTAGGAGGCTCTTGATTGTGCAGAGGAATCCCCTTAATGTTTGAGGACCACATTATGTATATTGTTAGTCTTTAATGACTAGAATCTGAGCTTGGATTGATAATTTGATTTATTGAACTCTTATAACTCACAGCTACAAGCAATTGTATGGCTATCAATAGTTCACGCTCTCCACTTCTCACTTCAGCACACACTGCATCTTCTATGTCTTATCTATCTGTTGCTATGTAATGGATCCCAACGATGTCCTCACATTCTCAACTGAATGAGTTTAATTCATTCTTGGGGCAGACCCAATAGAAAACAACTTTTCCAAGAATTCTCTAGTGTGGCGCCACATGCTTGTTGCCACGGAAACATGTTTATTGACCTTTCCTTAGCAAGGGCCTTCTCTTCTGGCTCCACTTTTCTGGTCTTTCTGCTGCCATTTCAAAGTATTTCTCCAGCATTTTTGAAGTGGAATATTTGCAATTATACTTGTACCAAATCAGTTTCAAAAATGCATGTTCGAGTCTTTCTGTGTGTCTTGTAATATGGCTTTAATTTTACTCCATTAGATGACTACTTTCCATAGCTCATAAGCATATTATTTGAAACTGGACACTTCATTTTCCTTTCTTTTTCTCATGCTTCCTTCCTTCCCTCCCTCCCTCCACAAAAGCCATTATGTTGATTAGATAGGTGTATTGGAACTTCCATATGAATGACATGAAATGCAGTTGGAATTTGCTGATGGATTATATGAATTTCAAATTTAATTTATAGAAATGTTCACAGTGGTCACGTGTCTTCAAATATTTTCCATTGTCAGCTCTGTCTCTGTGAGAAATGCTGAATGCAGATCTGTATTTCTAGGCTTTAGTGCAGACAGATCTGCTGTATAGGGCATAGAGAAACTAGAGAGGTAGGAGAGAAGAGAATGAGCAAAAAATGAAAAAGCATTAAGAAAAATGGTCAGGTGAGATAAGATGTGGATACAGAAAAAATGCAAACTAATTTAGATGAAAGTACTAAATCAGGCAAAAAATTAAACTATAGAATATTATAGAGGAGGAGAAATAGGATGGAAGAATTGTATAAAGTTGTTGATAAAGAAGAATGATTAAGATGGAAAAAGAAAGAGGTATTAAATCAATGAAAGAGTTGTTTTTTTAACATTTCCTGACTGGAAAGAAACAGGATTAAAGAGAAAAGCAACGGTAAGATGATGGCAGACCTGTAGGATATTAATGACTTTAGACTACTAAGAAGTATGTAGAAGAAAAGAATGCCTGAGCACTGGAAAAGGGATCCAGTCTTACCAATTTATAAAGAAGTTATAAAGCACTGTAGAAACGGTAAAGGGCTTATATTACTTAGGCACCATTTGAAACTGCATGAAATAATTCATAGAGGTGGATGGCAGTTTCTCTGCATTCCAAAAATATTATCAAATTACTTTCTGAAATAATGGACCTGCTTGAAATTGAGATTCTCTGTTTGACCAAGAGCCTACTTACTCTAATGCAGATTCAACATTATAGAATACAATTATTTAAAGTAGTGTTAGAGAAAAATAGCTGCAAGAGAAGGAAGCAATGATACAAACAGATGTAACTAAGTACCTGGTTTTTATTGTATATTATAATTATTATAAACAAGTAAATGTATAAAAATTTAAGCTGAATTTTGATTTACAAAAGGAAGACGTTCTTATGTTTTCATTTCAGCTTAAGAAAGTAAGAAAACTTTACATACAGTATTTTAAAACCTGAATTTTACATTGATTCAGGACTCGATTTTTTAAAGATATTTTTCACATTTAAATACTGCCCATAAACTGTTTTACAATAGAAATACACTGGTGGCAGATGTTTCTCAGGGTCCCTTTTATAAAGCAAAATAATAGCATTAAGTTATATTATAACAAATATGTTGTGTATAGATTTATTACAACTAGATATTTTATATTGGTTTTTGTGTAAGTAGTATTAATTCTTGAGGGACGCAGTCACAGTTTTCTCTCATACATATTGAGATTGCTATGATCTACAGTAATACAGAGGATACATCTTTTTGTTACAATTTCTATTATGATAGCACATTTTATATTTTTCATATTCTCAGACTGCATTACTCTGTATACAAGTCAGTTCATAATGAAATCTGTGATTGTATCCCTCAAGTTTCAGAAAGTTGACTTGGTAACTTGCAGAATTAATTAGTAAAAACCATTACTTCTCTTTGTTATTCATAATATGAGTACTTAGATTCTGGAAGTAATGACAAGGCTTCAATGTTCATTTTCATGTCAGTGTATATAAAGCAGGAATTGTGAATTTATCATTTAAATTTCCAATATTGCTTCTTTCTTATATTATTATTGTGCATCATTGGATATTTGATGTGTAATGATGTGAATTGCTTGGTCAGTTGGATGAAGCTCTAAGACATGAATAAGCTGAATAGTTCGAGTACACTATCCATTGCCATCCTTCCAGTTTATTTCTTCCATTATCATAGCCATAGTGCCTGTGTGCAGTGTATGGAGTACTGATACTATGTACCATAGTTCCTCTTCATTAAAGATGTAAGTATGTTTTAATTTTCTTGCTCTATAGAGATATGGAGAAATATATTGAAAAGTGAACTTTTAATATACAAAGTAATAATGTTATATATATTAGTTGGAACCTAAACTAATTTTGCTACACAGTGAAATTATTTCTCTGACTTTAGGAGATCATATCAGGAAAAAGATAATGATGTTATTTCTCATAACATATAACCTGCTTTAAATGTTTATATTATATTAAGGAACTTAAATTTTGCCTCCTGTATGTACAGGCCTACAATAAATTTGAACTGAAACATTCATTATCATGATGTATTTCCAGAACAGATTTATGTAGGAAGTCAAATAATGATAATATTTTTTATAAGGGTGTACTGTAAATAACATTTGGAGTCCAAACATTCTTTACAGTTTGTCACAATTTTCTATGACAAAGATACATGGTTGCAGAGTTTGTCTTGTTCAACATACTTGAGATGCAAAACAAACAGAACTATTTTGTATTATTTTAGTATCTGCTGGAATAAAATAAAAGTGTTCAGCGTGATCTCCATCAGCCATGATGCAGTTCTCTGCATGTGGCCTCATGCCCATACTGTTGCAATATCCCTGGTATCCTGTGTACAATTTGTGTTGCATCTTGCACTTCTTGCCATAGGGCATCCTGGGACTCCAGCTCCTGTGGCTGAGGTAAGGTGAGCGTGTAAGCCATGTCATTGGTCCTTCACATTCACTTCACTTCTGTAAGAACTGATATTTTATCCTTCCACATACCTGGCATGCACAAAGGTTCCATCATGTGTAGAGCACATACTGACATGCATGGCTAATGAATTGTCATCTCTCTGTTATGGCAGTAAAAAATTATCCACACTCTTGTTTTTCCAATTTATATACACAAAAGTAGGGGTTGAACAAGTATGTCGTTTTTCTACATGGTCTCCTTCCTTTTCGATGCACTTGGTTCAGTGGTCCACAAGCTTGCGTATTCTTTCTCAATGCATTTGGTTCAGTGGTCCGCAAGCTTGCATATTCCCCCCAAGAAGAAGGGTTTCAGTCGGTTGCGCAGCCATCTCCTTCCTTGTTGATGCACTTTGTTCAGTGGTCCACAAGCTTGCATTTTCCCTCCAAGAAGAAGGTTTTTGGTTGGTTGCGCAATGATTTATGCACTGCTTCCCGCACTTCTTTGTCCATAGAAAATCTATGACCTCATGAAGCATCTTTGAGCAGCCCAAAGAGATGATAGTCAGAAGGGGTGTTCCAGCACCTCGAAACCCAAATGCTTAATGGTTTAAACGGTCTGGCCGTGCATTGTCATGCAACAACACTTTCTTCGACAATAGGCCTCAGCATTTGGTGCGAATTGTTGGCCAGCAAATCACTGTATCTTACAATGTTGATTGTACACCTTTTTTCCAGGTAGTCTTCCAGTATAGGCCTATTTGAGTCCCAAAAACGGTTAGCATCGCCTTTTCCGAGGAAGATTGTTTCTTGAATTTCTTGTCCGGCCATTTTTAAACTTCTCAGTCCACTCATACACACTTCTACGTGGTAGAGCAGTGTCCCCATATTGTATTGAAAGCCTCCAATGAATTTCAAGCCCTGACATACCTTCCAACCAGAGAAATTGGATCACTGTTCTTTGTTCCTCCTTGGTGCACACTTTTACACTGTCACAGCATCAAGGAAAATGACGCGATCAAGGTCAAACTTCAATCATATGACCACAGTAGTACCAACTCTAAGCATGCATGCGCAGAAGGCAGTGTGACAAACCTAAAGATGTGTTATGGCAAAAGTGAGGACAATTTCTGACTTTCCCTTGTATTTATGGGGATTGCAAGCATGTAACACGCGTGAAATGGATGGAAAAACATAAGGACCAATGATATGATCTCCAACAGGCTAGTCCATACATTAATTGAGAAGTGATGCTGGTGCCTTGTAACACTTTTTTTTTCTGCCCAAGCATGCATGTTCTGTAAGTTCACTATCCAATCTCCAGTAAAACATGCATAATAAGTGAAATGAACTGTTCGGATAAACACAGGATTGTTTACACATTGTGGATGCAACCATCGGTGGAACCCAACTTGAATTGGACCATTCATTGTTTACACCTCTTGCACTTGCACTTGTACTGTACTGTATAATAGAGGTACAGGCAGTGAGTCCGTCATACAATACACGTTGTGGATGGGACACCAGTGATATTAGAACAAAAAATGGTCATTTCCTATGTGTATTGCAGAAAGCTGCATAATGACTGAAGAGGTCATTTTGAGCACTTGCTATAAGAAGTGCTTTATTTCACTTCACTGGATGCTAAGGTAATACAAAATAGTTTCAGTTAGTATGCATCTTAAGTCTATCAGATGGAGCAAATTTGCAGCCATATATCTCTGCAAAAAAGAAACTGGTGTTAAAATGGGAAAGGATTTTGCAGCTCCAGAAGTTACCTAAAATACACCCTCAGAGAGAATGTAGTTATTTTTTTGAACATTCTGTATGTGTGAAAGTTACACTTATCTTGCAAGGCTTTTATAACATGTGACAAGTTCAAATTTTGCTGTGCTCGTATGAGGTAGATGATGTTAATATCACATTTTGCAAAATTCTAAGTGCATTTGTTACAACAGTCTGCTACATCTTACGAAATTTGGCTTCTCATAAAGCACATGAAGTGTGGTAGACATTGAGCTAAAGGCTTCCTTAGCCTTCATAGTTCCTTCACTTCAATGAAAGTAATGCCAACATATTTATGTATATAAAATGAGATTATAGAAATCAAGCACTTGTCTGTTTGGTACATATGTTATCAGATAAATCATAGAAACATATTTTTTATGCTTTGTGCTTTTATTTCCTCCTGTTATAATGTAATGACAAAGGATTTAGCTTTCAAAATTAGTCTGGAATTTATTTTGTGAACAGTTGCATTTATTTACTTGCCCTGTAGACATTGTTGAAGTACAAATGATAGGTTTGGAAGAATGGAATAAGGTACCTCATTCCACATTCTTATTCAGCCAGTGAAATACATTTCCTATTGCTTCCACCTTTCTTTGTCTTAGAATTACAAATAATTTTGTAATAAACTCTTCCAGCAGTTCCTGAACTTCAGTAATTCGTGGAATATATGGAACATAGTAGTACAAAATTATTTTATATAATAATTATATTTAAAGAAATGCTGTCTTTTATTGTGAGATAAAGTATGAATAGTGGAACTGTAAAGAGAAGAAGATGATGCCATGTTTTTTTAACTTCCTGCAGTTTACTAAAGGTTTTATCAATTTTTCTTTCATTTATCTTTCTATGATTACAGTGATATTGGAGGAAATATCAGGTGCAAATGGTTGGAATTTTGTACACCCTGAACATCATGATTGCTTAAAATGTGCAGGAAGATTAATGTCCTATTCCTTATAAATACTGAGGTGTTCTGTGATCCACATGAAATTGAATAATAGTGAGAGACCCTAGAATAATTAGAAGAGTTTGTGCATGGCTGGGATTAAAAATTTGGTTTTTACTTATACTTGTGTACCAGAAATTATAAGATCCCCTAAAGACTTCAGTGTGTGTAGAAATCTTAAAAAAATGTGTTATGTAAAGGAACATACAGAAGAAGTTTTATGCAGGTTTCTTAATTTGTGTGGGTGACAGAAGATGGTATTGGTTCATCTACAGTGAGACATTTCCTGAGTGAATTTTGTAAAATTTGGATGATGGCGTTTTTTAATAACACACTCCACATCCAATCATTGGTTTAAGTAAAGACTCCCAACTCATTAACTCCTAGTTGCAGTAGTATAAAATGACTTGGAACACCATCTAGTGTGATTGATTAGTAAAAGTTGTATTTCAGTTTTTCATTTTCCTTAACATGTTTGGGTTGGATTGACCATCTTCAGAAGGACACAATCGACATTAAGGAAACCATTATTACAGTGTCATTAATATATTAAAAAAATTAGACCTTTTAACAGCATTAAGTACATGAAATAGTTGGAACTAATTTATTTACACAGTCAAATATTTAAAAGTAAAGTTATAAAAACTTTTTGCTAAACTAGAACCAATGATTCGTGTCTTGAAATTTCTTCCCATTAAAAGAAGAAGACTGTCTATCATGACATGGTTTTGTACCTTTAATGCCGTGGTCCTGTTGTATAGAACACTAGTACAACAATACAAAGTGTTCTATACGGTGGGACCATGGCATTAAAGGCACAGAACCACGTCATGATAGGCAATCTTCCTTTGATGAGAAGAAATTTCTAGACACGAACCATTGGTTCTAGTTTTAACAAAAAATTTTTATAACTTTCCTTTTAAACACTTAACTGTGTAAATAAATTAGTTACAATAACTCATAAATGTTCCAAGCACTTCATGCACTTAATGCTGTTACAAGGTATAATTTTTTATATATTAATGACACTGTAATGATGGTTTCCTAAATGTCGATTGTGTCCTTCTGAAGATGGTCAATCCAACTGAAACATGTTAAGGAAATTGAAATATAACTTTTATTAATCAATCACACTGGATGGTGTTGCAAGTAATTTTGTACTATTGCTAGTGTGACCAACCAGGATGAGCCAAGTCAGGCAAACCCCTAGTTGACTGAAGTTTACTTTATTCTCCATTTTCTGAAGCACTGTATTCCTGCCAGGTAAGAGGAGTAAAGAGGTTGGTGTGTAGAAAATCTGAGTGTAACTTTCTGGCATCGTGTGAGGTCTTGTACTTGACAGCTTCACTGTTACCGCCCCTTTGTGCCAATTTGATTGCCATCAAAGATTTACATAACAGTCACTGTCATTTCACTAATTTTGAAATTTTTAAGTGTTTTTATCACATTTTGTTTTATTCTGCTTTAAGCATCTCATGCTATTAGTAATGACATGAGAAAAATTATGCTTAAGTGACTTGATTATGAATGAATATTGAAGCCTTGTGTTTTGTATATATTTATAATTTTCTATAAACATCAACTGTGTATCTTATTAACATTAGTTTTAAAAAACAAAGTTTTGGTCTAATGTCATATACCTATGACTCATAATTGAAAAATTCCTATGATGTAAGAGAGCAATGAGAACATGTGTAATGTTTCTGTGCTCCACGTAAAGTTAAACTGACCCTCTTTCTGAGGAAAACAATTGCCTTGAAGTCAGTTGTTTTATCATAGAGTCATTTTAATTCTTAACTGAGAATTAATGTTTTTGGAAACATTAGTTGCAACTCAAAAGCAGTTCGTGAGTTTCACAATACCATGCATAAACATGAGGGAAGGTGGCGAAGTATATTTATAATCTCCAGAAGTTCAAAAATATGAGCTTTCAAATAAGATACATGAGTAAGAAAAAGATTTATATTTTCATATACTAGTAGAAAGAGGAAGTCCCCAAAAAATTCAGAAGGTTTGTGCATGTGTCATCAGTTTGACTGAACTAGTGAGGAAGTTGAACAGCTGACTCAGAACATTGAAGTAACAGCACTTAAAACTTTTAAGGATGTAGTGAGTTTGGCATAACAGCAACTATTGAGATCAAAGATATGTTGGTATTAGTAAAAATAACTGCACAATTTACTTGCGTTAAATTGAGATGTGACATTTAGTGTGAACTGTATTGCCCATGTCTTGAATACTTGAATTGTCTTACTAGCAGTCTAGTAACAAACATAGTAAGACAGTAGGAAGGAGCTCAGAATTTCATGATGGGATTCTCCTGCCAGGATATTGTCATGTGTAGGGGGTACACATCATGAAATGATGGGCACTAGTTCGGATGATTGGATTTCTTAACAGCTTGGTTCCACGCACTCTCTCAGTTACACTCAAATCACACTTTAAATCTTCACAGGTCTTCTACGGACTCCCAGATACTCCATTCTCAATACTGACGAATACTCTCATTATGTAGTGTCCGCACCGACCGA